CACTAAGTCTCTCCATTATGTCTGGAAACTCCAAAATTTCAGGTGTTTTTAAAAGTTATTTCATATTTTATATGTACTCTGATACTTATACTTATGTATACCTGTACCTAAATAAACTTACATACTGTGCTGGTACGCAGGTACACATTAAAATCAGTGTCTTATGTCTCGAGACGTCATATTAGTAATGATAATAATCACCGAGTCTCATTTAAATGTCATATATTACGTTAATATACACATTTTCATTAATCCATCTATGATATTTTTTCAAAATTATATAATAAACACTATGCATAACATATAAATATGATAAATACACCCCACAGTAAAATAAATAAACATAAATATGAGATGTGGTAGCAGACAACTTGCACAAGTGATGCCATATTAGAAATGATAATAATAATAATCTCTGAGTCTCATTAAATTTATTTATTTATTTATTTATTTATTTATTTATTATAAATTTGTGCACACATACAGAGGTACAAAAAAATACAGATAAGAGCAGTATGCCAAAGCCACTTATACTATGCATAGCATTACGGGCTGGCTTAAAATTAACTTAAGATTAATTAAGCAATGATGAAGTCAGTGATAAAACATTAATGTAAACAGATTACTATAAAGCACAAGTGAGTATTACAAAGACAGGTCATATGAAGGATTCTGTTAGGTAGTGTATTTAAAAAATAATAAAGTTAGATTGGGTTTTAGGTTTAACATTTATGTGATATAATTGTGAGAAACATTTAAGATATACAATTTATAAGGTTCAGTTATTCAGTATTTATTTGGTTTTGGGTGAGTAAGTGATCTTTGAGTAGAGACTTGAATTTATAAACAGGTAGTGTTTCTTTTATATTTACAGGTAATGAATTCCAGATTTTAGGGCCTTTTATGTGCATTGAGTTTTTGCATATGTGGAGATGAACACGAGGACATCAAAGAGTGATCTGTGCCTTGTGTTATGGTCATGTGTTCTGTTGAGGTTGGCAAGGAGATGTTTGAGGGGAGGGTTAATATCAGAGTTAAGTGTTCTATGTATGTAATAGGTGCAGTAATAAGTATGGATGTTTTGTATGGTGAGTAGGTTTAGTGTATTGAATATTGGTGGAGTGTGCTGCCTGTAGTGAGAATTTGTTATCATTCTAACTGCAGCCTTTTGTTGGGTAATTAGTGTCTGAGATGGTTAACTGTTGTTGAGCCCCATGCACAAATTCCATAGGTGAGATAGGGGTAAATAAGAGAGGATATAGGGCCAGGAGGGCTGACTGTGGAACATAGTACCGTATCTTCGATAGTATGCCTACAGTCTTGGAAATTTTCTTAGAAATTTGTTGTATATGTGTATGAAATTTGAGTCTATTATCAAGGTGGATTCCTAAGAATTTTCCCTCTGTTAGCTTTGTGATAGGTGATCCGTTTATCATTATGTTAAGAGGGACATCTGTAGCTCTGTTACCAACTGAATGAAGTAGGTTTTGTCAATGTTTAGTGTAAGTTTTGTTAGTCCTCATCCAGGTAGATATTTTCTGTAATTCGGTATTTACAGTATTGGCTAGTGTGACTGGGCTCGGGTGAGAGAAGACGTATGTAGTGTCATCTGCAAATAGTGTGGGTTTGAGTAATTGCGAAGCATTTGGAAGGTCATTTATGTATAGGAGAAAGAGAAGAGGGCCAAGGACACTTCCCTGTGGGACACCAACTGTAATTGGTTGCGCAGAAGAGTTTGCCCCATTTGCGTACACATATTGGCTTCTGTTGCTGAGGTATGACTTGAGGTAATTGAGGGAGTGCCCTCTTATACCATAGTGTGACAATTTTACGTGGAGCAAGTCATGGTCAACTGTATCAAAAGCTTTACGTAAGTCAATGAAGATCCCCAGTGGGACTTCTTTTTTCTCTATTGCAGTGTATATATGTTCTAGCATGTGTATAATAGCATCATTAGTATTTTTATTAGGCCTGAATCCAAATTGGCAGGGGTTGAGTATGTTCTGGGAGATAAGGTAGGAGTAGATTCGTTTATGAATTAGTTTTTCAAAGATTTTTGAGAGAGGGTGTAAGTTGGATATTGGCCTATAGTTATTCAACTCTGTTTGGTCTCCTCCTTTGTGGATCGGGGTGACCCTTGCTATTTTGAGTACTGTAGGGAAGGTGGAGGATTCAATGGATTTGTTAAAGAGTGTTGCAATGATTGGAGATAGCACTTGTGACACTTTTTTATATATAAAGGGTGGTAAGGTACTTAAATCTCCTGCCTTGTTTTTTAGTGCATTGATAATAAGGGAGACTTCGTATGGGTTAGTCGGAGCTAGGAACAGTGTGTTCGGGTAGTTGCCGGTGAGGTAGTTATTTGGTGGGGTATCTGAGCTTGGGATTTTATGGGCAAGGTTTTGTCCTATAGTGGAGAAGAAATCATTGAGTCTGTTTGCTGTTTCTGTTGGTGGGAGTTGGGGTTCATTCGATTTTGCTAATTTTATTTCGCTATTTCGTGATATCTTTTTTGTTCCCAGAATTTCAGATAGTGTTTTCCAGGTCTTTTTTATATCACCTCGTATAGTTGGATAATCTGTTCTCATAATACAATTTTTTTGCCCTTCTTATCAGGCTGGTTAGGATTGAGAGTAACGTTTTGTTTGGTCTCTGGTTATGTGACCCATTCTGTACTGTTTTTCATATTGGTGTTTTGTATTTATGGATTTGAGAATGCTGGGTGTTAGCCAGGGACTGTTCAGTCTCTTTGCTGTCATCTGTTTAGTTTTTTTAGGGCAGTGCTTGTTATAGAGGTATTGGGTCTTTTTTAGAAAATTATTAATACATTCGTCAATATCTGTATAGATTTCTAGCTCAGTGTGCCAATCAATGTTTGCTAATGCTGTTGCGAAGTTATTAATGGCTGCCTCATTGTGAAGTCTGAAGGTGACTTTAGTAGTGTCTTGGGGTAGTTTACCAAGAGTTGTTATGAGGAAAGTAGGGTAGTGGTCTGTGGTATTATCTGTAATTATGCCTGATTTTAAAGGGGATATGGTGTTGGTCCAGATGTGGTCAAGTAGGGAAACACTAGTCTCTGTAACTCTTGTAGGTTTTGTTACTGTTGGTAGTAACATACAGTTACTCATTGTGTTTGTGAATTCAGTAACGTGTGGGTCCTGGTCTTGCAGGAGATTTATATTGAAGTCACCTGAGAGTAGTAAGTGATCTTTGTTCATGCGTGCATCAGTTATCATACTTCCTAGATTTTGACTAAATTGGCTAATGTTTGACTGTGGAACTCTGTAGATGTTTATCAATGTGAGAGGTTTTTGTAGGTATTTGGATTTAAATTTAGCTGTCTTATATTACGTTAATATACACATTTTCGTTAATCCATCCATGATATTTTTTTTCAAAATTATATAATAAACACGATACATAACATATAAAGATGATAAATACACCCCACAATAGAATAAATAAACATAAATATGAGATGTGGTAGCCAGATAACTTGTACAAGTGATGGTAAGAATAACATTTTCTTTAATCTAACTTAAGAGAAAATGTGTTACTGGGGGTAACTGTAATATGTCTAGGGGTATGTATGTAAGTAAGTTTATTCAGGTATACACAAATACAGTTACATAGTTTATCATGCATAACAGCATATGTGTAGAGAATCTAGGATAACCCAAAAAAAGTTAGACAGAGTGACTTATTTCCATTGCCTTCACTCAGAGCGTCATTTCTTCTAAAATTGGTGTTACATGAGAATGGGAGTGTTCTTCTTTATTTATTCTACTGTATCAATGTAGAGACAACTTGTACACAATGTAATATGTACACAAACCAGACGTGTACACTTTGTTTACAAAACTTACGTTCTCCTGGTTTGTTTACATAACTCTGCGCCTGTCCTCCCTCATGTACTCATTCTCTCTCTCTCTCTCATTTATTCATTTTATCTCTTTTACTCATCCCTGACCCTACATTAAGACTACAAATATTTTAAGGTAAGTAATGAGTGAACTGTATATGCATTTTATCGCTCTGGGATGCTTAAATATCATAGAATAGTATGTGGTAGCCCGGCTGACTACCATACATGCCACACATGATTTCTTACAATAAATACTACTTGTCTCACCCTAGATTAAGACTATAAAATTTTTAAGGTAAGTAATGAGTGCACTATGTGTGTATTGTACTTTTTTATTGTTTTTTGATGCCTAATTTTATTGCTAACTTAATATATGTTAGTGTAAACTTTTTTATCTAGTTTTTTTATGCTTTTATAAGGGGAAAAAAAAGGGTTTTTCCACTTTCCGTTTTCCGCTTTCGGGGGCCTGGAACCAACCTGCCAATAATGGGGCCCTACTGATAAGCAGTCCTTTATTGACTATGTTTTCCCCATACAGGGGGCTTTTTTAAAGGCACAAACAGATCTACCTGGGCAAAGAGTACACGTACAGTAATTATGGTGGAGAATGTTGGGGGGGTTGGTTTAAGAAAACATAAATAAACCCTTGCCGGAAAATAACTTTGTTGTTATTCCACACAACAAAATACCTATTAGCAACCCCATGCGGGTCCTCTCAGATCCAACCCCCCAAATACCACCTGACATCCACCCCTTTATATACTTGTACTCTATACCTAAGGGGACTGTTTGTGATTTGAAAAAGCCACTTGTGGGTAAAACGCGTAATAAAAAAATTCTTATACGTTTTGTGTTTATTTTCGTGTCAGTTTTTTTATATCATTTACCCTCCGTTATAATCCTTACTCATACTGTATTCCAAATTTTTTTAAGCTGCCCCCTAGCTTTTATAATGTGCATAAAATATCAATCCTGATTTGTCACACAAAGCCTAATTATATGTACTAGAACTGTAAGTAGTTTTAAGGTCTAGAATTAGTCTGTCCAAAGTGTTTTGCATAATTATGGGCTTTTCCATGTATTTTTAAAAATTTTTAAATTTCATTGTGAACAAATATTTGACTTTACTTTATAGCTGAAGAACCAGTGAAGTTCACAGATAGTGCCAATATGCACATCAGTGGAGGAACAGTATCAGTCAAGGAAAATCAGCAGTTCAGTTTTAAGTGTACTGTCACTGGGACACCAACTCCAGTCATCACTTGGTTTAAGGTAAATACTCATTTTTTGGCAGTGCCTTTGTTTTTTTTTTTTTTAACACACCAGCCATCTCCCACCAAAGTAGGGTGACCCAAAAAAGAAAAAAAACTTTCACCATCATTCACTCTTTCACGTTTTACTTATGTGTGCAGATGCTACAGTTATAGCCCCTCCATGCTGAAAATATCCCCCCCCCCACTCCATCAGATTGGGGCAATACGGGGGTAAGAGGTCAAAATCCCTACACAGTGTGAAAAATAGACACAAATGGAGTACAGGAGGGCCCTGCTAATATGGATATTTCAAATTATGACCAAAATTTTTTTTTATAATAAAATTTATTTTTTATTTCTACAAGTACTATATATGGATAAGGCCTACTGCATCATTGACATTATACTTATAAAAAAGCCATTGTTATGCTGGCATTTCGGGCAAATTAATCATTGTCCCAGGATGAACCCACCCAGTCGACAATTCCCAGGTCCCTATTTTACTATGGGTAAACATAGACCCCTGTGTAAAGAAACATGCCCAGTTTTTCTCCCCTGCGGGAATCAAACCAGCCCTTTCACCGTGTGAAGTGAGAGCTTTAGCCGCCGGGCCATGGTTCCCCTGATTCACTTTATTTCTGTCATGTGCCAATTTGTTTGTTACACCTTGTAACTCCGGTTTCTTGTTTAAAATTTCTGGAAATCTCCAAATTTTAAGCTTTTTTAAAGTTACTCATTTTTTATAATACTCTGATAATTGTATTTATTCTTTCAACCTTTTTTTCACACACCGGCCGATCCCACCGAGGGGGGTGCCCCAAAAAAAGAAAGAAAATCCCCAAAAAAAAAAAATTTTCATCATCATTCAACACTTTTACCTCACTCACACATAATATGTTTTTGCGAGGTGCTCAGAACACAACATTTTTAGAAGCATAACGAAAAAGTACACAAAAATCCCTCCAAACAGCCAATACCCAAAAACTCCTTTTTAAAAGTGCAGGCTTTGTACTTCCCATTTCCGGACTCAAGTCCGGCATATAAAATTAACCGGTTTCCCCCTGAATCCCTTCACAAAATATTACCTGCCACACTCCAACGATCGTCAGGTCCTAATACCATTCGTCTCCATTCACTTTATTGAAACATTCATGCACACCTGCTGGAAGCCCAAGCCTCTGCCCAAAAAAAAAAAACCTCCTTTACCCCCTTCCTTCCAACCTTTGGGACGACCCCTACCCCCCCTTTCCTTCCCCTCAGATTTATACGCTCCCCATGTCTTTCTTTTTTGATCCATTCTCCAAAAGACCAAACCCATCTCAAAAACCCCTTTCAGCCCTCTGAAAAATACTTTTATTAACTCCACATCTTCTCCTAATTTCCACCCCGAATTTCTGCATAATTTTACATCACACTTGCCCTTAGACAGGGACATCTCCCTGTCCAACCACCTCCTACTGCTGCATTCAAAAACCCAAGCTTCAACCCATATAAGGTGTTGGACTACTATACTTCATACCCTTTTCCCCTTTTTTTTCCTCCATAGATAAGTTTTTTGACTCACATATACCTCAATGCCCACTCACCTTTTTTTTTTTTCCCCCCCTCAATTCTATGATTAAACTCTCCTTCTTTAAAAATCCGCCGACCGTCAATCCCAATACTGAAAACTTCACTTCTTCCATCCTCCTCCCCAAAATTTGTATCCAATTTTTTTTACTAAATCATTTTGATCCCTCATCACCTTACTTTTTCTATGTTCACTTTCAAAATTTGTTCTTTCACACATTTCCCAAATTTTCCACTAACTTCGCAATTTTTTTTTAGAATCTCCCCCTAAGCAAGATCATCAGCAAAAAGTAACTGGTTAATTTTCCCTTTTAATTTGATTCCCCTAATTTAATCCCCCCCCCCCCCAACCCCCTGCTTTCTTCTTTTCAACCCCCCATCATAAATATTTAAACAACCATTACTTCCCCCTTCTGACTATTTTTTACCAAATAGCCCATCTCTTTTCAACCCCCCAAACCCCCACATCCCATAAAAACCAAACCCTTTTTGAATTACCACCTTTCTAAGAACATCTCCAATTTCCCTATCCAATTTTATCCTTTTCTAAACCATAAAAACAATAAAATTTCCCCCCTATTTAGATCTTTACAAACCAAAAAAACTTATTTAAAATCCCCACCCCATTATAAATTTGCCTCCGCAACCTTTTGTCTTCCTCTTTCTTTATTTTCCTTCCTTCCTTTTCCCATACCCCAATAAATTTCCTCTATAATTTTTTAATTTTCCTTTTGTCCCCTTTCCCTTTTTAATAAAAAACTCCCTTTATCCCATACCTTCCCCCTTTTCATACATTTTTAAACAAAATACCAAACCCTCCCATATATCCCCCCCTTTTCAGTTCTGTTGCCCACATTTTTTACCCCCTTTTAAGTAAGCCCACGACCTCCCCAATAATTTGTTTTTTATCCCAAAGATGGTATTATTGGAGTTGTGAAAATTTGTTTTTTGGGGAATTTAAAAGTTAAAAAATATTTGATTAAACCCAATACCCCATCTCTTTTTAAACTGGACATTCCATTCATTTTCCAGGGTTTTAACTTTTTAAACGCTCCAAAATTTTTTATTTTCTTAAAATTTTCTTACATTGCCTCCCCCCATCTATTCCGCTCCCTTTTGCACTTTTTCCTATTTCTTCACCTTTTTTTTACTTCCATTATTCCCTCTTCGTTAACACTTTGCTTTGTAAAATCCTCTCAAAGCTCCTTTTTCTCTTTTATCCACCCTTACTTCATCATTTTCCCCCAAATTTTATCCTCTTTCCTCCTCACCCCACCCTTTTCCTTATAACCACAAAAATTTGCCCCCATTCTAAACTGCTTTTTTTAAACTATTCCCCAACCCTCTTCAAATCACCCCCCCTACTCATTCTTGCACCAGCCCACGTTTCTGCCAATAGGTTGCTTATATCCCGAATTCCCCCTGCCTTAGTTTATTTCACTTTTACCCCCCTCTTATATTTTTTTTGTCATTTTTCCCCTTGTCCCCTTTCCTCTTCTCAACTGATCGCAAATAAATAATGATCCAATATATCAGTTGCCCCCCATAAACTTTTACATCGTGGAGCCCCCCATCAACCTTTTATCCACCAATACATAAACAAACATAATGTTTTATTATAATTTAAGAGTCATACTTATTAGATATAACGCCCAAAGTCGGCATTGTTTTCTCACCTGACGGCAACATGAAGCCTGCCACTTGCGATCATTTTCGATAACTTTTTTTTCTTTTTTTTTTAATTGTATAATTTTTATGTTTTATAAAGACAATTTTCAGTAGTTTTGTATTTCATAGTTAAACTTTGGTGTGACATAATTATTAGGTACTGAAAAGTTTTCTCAAAAAGACAAACACAGTGACGGTGAACATTTTCACCTACCTGGTCACATCTGTTGTCTAGAAATATATACAATATTTATAGGTCCCCAGCAATGTTTTTGGGTAACAAATGTATATAATAATAATAATAATTTTAGAAGTAGGTTGGGACAGTAGCCACCCAGGGAGGGGGACTACTGTCAGCCCCAATGGGAAAACGAAAGCCTGTAATTATTTTACATGATGGTAGGATTTCTAGTGTCTTTTGCTGTTCATGCAAAATTACAGGGGCGCTTGCTACTTTTACTTACACTTTTGGTCAACTAAACATACATTACAAGCATATAATATATATATAATGTAATTGAGTATGTGTACAAAAAAAATTTGGTTAAAAAGTAAAACTAAATTTTTTGAAAAAAGGGTAAATAAATATACAAGGATTGTAGACGTAATGAAAGTAGTTTGTTGATTAAATTGGTGGGTAAAGGTTGATGGGGAGGGTCCAGGTGTACATTTTATAGAGGGGGCCCAACTATATATCGGATCATTATTTTTTTGTACTACAGTTAGAGTAAGAGGAGATGGGGGAAAAGAGGAGGTGGCAACAAAAAAAAAAAGAGGGGGGTGAAATGTATAAACTAAGGGAGGAGGAAGTTCGGGCGGAAAAGCGACTATTGGCAGAAAGGGGGGTGTGCAAAAATGAGTAGTGGGGGGGTTGAAAAAGGGTGGAATAGTTTTAAAAATGCAGTTTTGAATGTGGGGGGAAGTTTTTTGGTTATAGGAGGGGGGGGGGCAGGGGAAAAAGGGAAATGATTGGGGAAAAGATAAGTAAAAGGGTGTGATAAAAGAGAAAAAGGTAGCTTACGAGAGGTTTTTACAAAACAAAGTGTTTTTTAAAAAGGCAGAGTATTGGAGATAAAGAAAGGTGAAGAGAGTGGTTTTAGAAGTGAAAAGGAGAGCAGATGAAAATGGGAGAGGGGATGTCAAGAAATTTTAATGAAAATAGAAAAAATTTTGGAGTGAGTTAAAAAATTAAGCCCAAAGGGGAAAATATGGATTTGTCCCTTTTTTAAAACAAATAGGGGAGTTGTAGATGGGGGGAGGGAGATATTAGGGAGATGGCGAGAATATTTTGAGGAAATTTTTAAAATTTGAGGAAGAAAGGGAGGGGGTTAATTTTATGCATGGCCCGGGGGGTATCCATCTTTCAGAGTGAAGAAGAGCAAATGTAAGTGTTGTGGGGTAGGAGGCATTACGTAGA